CAGTGTGTGTGTGTCCCCCCTATCTATAGGGGCCTATCTGAATTTCTGTCTTTGAGAGATATTATTTTGTAATATATCTGAATTTTCTATCCATAGGCCTAAATATAAACTTTAAATATATTAAAATTATAAGGCATCTTTGAGTAAACTGCAAGTATCATTTAAGTAGGCTATCTTGTGGCCGGGCCGAGTGTCCTCTTTTTTGGAAATCAAAATATGGTCACCCTATCTTAAACCAAAGTGTTGGACAAATTAAAATTTTGCCTGATGATGCTACATAGGGATCACTCAAGTCATTACAATTCCTCCTGAACAGGATGTGAATGCTTGTAAAGAATTTCATGGCAATCTAGTTGAGATATTTCACCCGGGATCAAAGGGGAACACACTGACTGACATTCAACTAAAACTGTTACAGCGACCTCCTTCACAAACACTGCTGAAGCAGTTCTCACTCGTCCTTATCGCCCCTGACAGAAATGTAATGATCTTTTGTTACTTCGTGTCTAAAGGTCGTCAATATCAAAAAGCAGACAATCCCATTTTCCACTAACATGTCAGCTCATAAAGCAGCAGCTGCGCCTTGAAATTGTTAAAGGTTATCTCCACATCAGTGCTGCTGAAAATCAAAGCCTGAGTGACATCTTGACACGCTCCTTGTTGAATAAAGTAGTAATTCGAAAAGTTCGTCGAGTTATCCTTCACATCATTTGTAACCCTGATAACGGCTATTGTACCAGGCCACTACGAAAACCTTAGAACCTGACACGATGTTTGAACTTTAACCCTCAGGTTTTAGTGTTTGAATCCAGGACTGGATTGCATTCATGAATAATAATGTTCATTCTGAGATGTTACACTGGCTTTAGAGCTGACCTCAATATCAAAGCTACGCAAGATCAAAATCCACGTAAATGGATTCTAAGGAGAAATAATTGCTGTTTGCTACGCACACACACACCTTAGCTTGAAGGTGGACGTGATATGAACAACAATGCAATGTGAAGCCATATATACACAGTACATTACAACATTATGACAGAATATTTTAAAAAAGAGAGGTTAACATTTTTAATATATCAACGGAAGACAGTATTAAAAAGATAATTAAGTCTTACTATTTATGCCCATCAATTTGATTGAAAGTGGCCCCAAAGGGAAATTACACTGAAGTTATATTACAGAAGCCTATTCTTCATATTCTTTGTGGAGGACATTATGAAAGAGGCATAATTCTAATTAAAGCAAGCTTTCTTGAATTCAATATAAACCTTAAGGGAAGCTGAAGTAAGTAAACATTTTAGATGGCCTGAAGAGTTTTAAAATTAAAGGTAAAGAGGCTTGGACTGCACTCTAGGTCTTTTGAACTGAAACTTTTGAAGAACATATATCAAAACCAGCCACTGCAAACAAGTATTGCCTTTGGGAGACAGGCGTTGGCATCTCCATTTGCAATATTATTATTAATGGCAATTCTCCTTTCATAGTAACACCACTTTGGTGCAAACTGCAACTCAGATTGCCATCAGATTTTGTGCACACGTTCATGGTAACCAGTGGATGAATACTACTGATCACATGACCTTTCCTCTATATGTTGATATTTGTGTTTTAGAGGGAAATATCTTGACAACTATTGGATCTATTGTTATATTGGTACAAACATTCATATCAACCTGGGGATAAATTATAATCACTTTGGTGATCTCTAAACTTTTAATCTAACGCCATCATCAGGCCAAAATATTAATTTGTCTGATACTTTTAATTGTGACTGACTACTTGAAAAAACAATGACATTCCCATCATCTTCTGTTGTACTTCATATTCAGTGCTAATTAGCAAATGTTAGCATGCTAACAGGCTAAATTAAGATGGTGAACATTATACCTGTTTAACATCAGCATGTCACATGGCTTGAGACTCAATGGGCTTTTACACACGGGAGGTGTTTTTTACGTGCAATTAATTCGAATTTCAATACTGTTGTTTCTGTCGTACTTTCACACAGAACGTGAATATTAAGCAGCGAAAAAGCGTCATAATTTTTTTCTTTGTAACAAAGTCGAGTTTTACAAGCCTCTGTACCACGAATAAAGGCATTAACCAATCACGTTGTGGAGAACTGAGGTCATGTCACAATGTCACAGCAGTGGCGAGCATGTTGCAACTGTCGGAAATCCAGATCACTGCCAGTATGAATAGTCTTGATGCAGGCAAGCAGTTTGCATTGTCATGTGAATTATTCCCCTGGTGTGTAAAGGCCTTTAGTCTTGTTGACTTTAATCATTGGGAGATGATTAGATGGTATTTTGGGATTGAGTTGAGTTGAGTGACCACACCTCTAATATAAGTAAATACCTATCACAGAAGGAGGCAGAGTTTTAACGA